TAACATATATATATATATATATATATATATATATATATGCTAAATGATTTCATCAGTAGTTCTAGAATAAGCGATATATGTAATTTCAATAAATAATAAGGTAAAGTAAATAAATTAATTTTATTGTAATATTTAAATACTATATATATAATCATAATCATAAGAATACAACATATATAATCATAAGAATCTGAAACACATACATATAAAATTCGAGGAAAAAAGAAAAAACCCAAAGAATTTATAATATTCTAAGTATATTTCTTATGTGGTCATATTTTTCTTTTTAATTCTCCAAACTAATATTTATTGTTTGTTATTATAATTCTCTGTAAATCTTATGATAAATTTCCATTTTATGAAACAGTCATTTTGTAATAAATAACAACATTTTGTAATAAATAAAAGTGAGAAGTACATAAAAAGATGTTATGCTCGATTTTAATACTCTTTATATCTAATACGATAAGAATGTGCAGAATATGAGTTTCTATGTGTATCAAGCAATAAGGGCACAACATAAAGGACAAATAAAAAAATTATATCACGCAAAAAAAAATATTGATTTGCATTGAAATAGTTGAATTAAAAAACTGTCATAAATCAAATATTATTGTTTTACTAGAATTCTTTATTCGATAAATTTATTTTTAATAAAAATCTCTAAACACTTAAGCTACAGGTGATTGTGCTTATATTTAAAATGTGTATAATATCGTATAATATGACACATTATACGATACTCTGTTTAACGAAACAAGTTAGGATAAAAACAAACCAGTTACAAAACTTATTGCAATTTTAATATTTTGATTATTGATATTTGAATATTATTATATAAATTATGTCTATATTCATTAATTCTTGCCATTATTAAACAATTATCTATTTATATTCATTTATTATTTATGTATATTGTTTATAGTTATTATATTATATTATATTTATTATATTATTTATATTTATACAACAAATAATTTTATAGTATAATAAAAAAATTAATATTTTAATGAAAAAAATAATTTTTTATTTTATAATATTTTAATATTATGAGGATAATCCTTTTTCCCTAGATTTTGATCACGTGGTTTTATTTATATTTCCTGACTCGTTTCGTTGAACATAATTTACATATATAATTCTGTGTTTAATTCATAATCCGATATTATGATCGAACGTTTATCTAGTAACTGTGCCAAGAAGTTGAATGAGCGAAAAACTAACGCAAAATATATATTTTAGTAGAATATTGATTTTTATGTGTGCATTCTTTATTGCATTTTTTGTATATAATGGCTAAAATTTTTCTAATTTCTAGTGATAATAATGCATTCTAAAGTTTTTGTCCCGCCTAAATGGTCATCACGTGCATGTGTTTACAGCTACTGTTTCTATTCGTTTGACGGAGTATGGATGAAATCAACATGGTGTCATAGTAAGTTGTATATTACATTTAATTTTTAAGTATATATATTTTAAAGTGAATAATTTTTTATATTTAAGATTAGTATTTTTTGATCCTATTCATTAAATATAAAATATTCAAAAATATAAAAATCGGTTAAAAGTTTTTAATGATCTCTTAACATGAAGTTTAATATTTAAAAATTTAATATTTTTAATATATATATATATATATATTATATTATATATATTATTATTTTATTAAAAAATAAAAAATTAGAATATATTATAATTAACTGTATTTGTTTAGCCCTGAACATTATTCATCTGAAAGCTATAGCTCTCCAAGTACATCACAACCACAATATCAGGAACAAACAGGTTTTGAAAATCAATCCCAATTTGAACAACCTATGACACCAGCAACTCCAACTAATATGAGGATTACAAGAAATACACGAGCTAGATTACGTGGTATGATTTAAAATATATTATTTTATTATATTTTTTAATTAGTGATTTTTTATAGGAGGACCAATACAACAACCAAAATATAAAGAAATAGATACAGATTATATTCCAACTATTAGTAGTAGTAGAGGAAGAGGAAGTAGTGGACGAGGACGTGGAAAACGAACACATCATTCACATAGTTTAGAAGATGAAGCTAGTCTTTATTATGTCATTAGGAACAATCGGTCTTCATTAACTGTATGTTGATTGTCATGTTTGAATTATAAATGTTATCATGATATATATATAAATTTATAAATACTTATAGATACACACACACACACACACACACACACACACACACACACACACACACACACACACACACACACACACACACACACACACACACACACACACACACACACACAC